GTATATACCGAAGTTGGAATTATACAGGGGTTGACGAGGGAAAACGTCGCGCCCGTATCAATCAGAGCGCATACTAACTTGTTATCGACTTCTAGCTGTGCATTACAGGCAGCAAGTGGGGGAAAACACTGGTACAGGAAGAAATGGAAAGCGGATAATTTGTCTTGCCGGGAAAGCAGTGACAGCCAGTCACTCCAGTTCGCAAACTTACTAGGGGTTTCGTGAGCTCAAAGCCGTCGGACAAAGAAAGTGTTGGTGGCTTTGCCAAACGACTGTGTTTCACTGAGCGTTGCCGACAGCTGGTCACATACTGCAAAGAAGGGCATGTTCGGGTCCACTCCAGCATCTACCACGTGATCGAGTAGGAAGTTGGAAAGACGTTTAGCTGCAAATCGTTTCCGTTCTACACCACCATAGTGCATAGATATCATTTGGAACGGCGCAACCAGACCACAAAAGATACTACCCCACCATGAGGCGAAATACTAGTGGGCCCACTGTATTGGACGTGTTAGGTATGCAGTAAGAAGGATCAGCGTCAAACAGACCGTAGTTAACTCCTTTCTCCTTTTCCCTCCACACTGCAGGCAATGAAAATCGAACCAATGAGAAGAATACCAACAGGTAAGAAAATATACAGATAAGGAACAGTGCATTGAATTGTTAAAAGGGAAGGCGATAAAGGGGCCAAGATAGTACTTAATTGTGGACACTGTTCAGGCAAGACAGGCATAGATAAAAAGAATTTAATAAACCTCAATGTAGAGTATCGGTAGAAATAACCTCCACTGGTCCTGCATTCTGCTCTGAGAGAGCGCCCTTTGTCTCAGCTGCAAGAAAGTAGAAAAACTAAGTGTTCTTTAAAATCACAGTCAGTCAGTATATTTGAGGGAAAAATAGGCTTGCGCCTTTGAACTCCCTGTTTGTCCAATCAAAATCTCAAGAATTATTAACAATGTTAACAAGTTTTCAGTAAGTAAAATATAGACCGTCACATGGTGCAGTGGTGTTTTTTAGGCTAACTTGTCACATAGTTCCCGTTGTGCTGCAGCATGCGTATATCAAGTCGATGTTTGAATGTCTCCACAGATTGGGAAATAACAATCGCCTCGGGAAGGTTAT